AGATCGTGGATAAAGAGTTATGGGGCAAGGTGTGGTGGCTCACGCTTGTAATCCTAGCACTTTGGGAGGCCAAGGTGGACAGACCACTTGAGCTCAAGAGTTCAAGACCAGCCTGGCCAATGCAGTGAAACTCTATCTCTACTAAAAATATAAAAAAATTAGCTGGACACGGTGGTACACGCCTGTAATCCCAGCTACTCTGGAGGCTAAGGCAGGAGAATTGTTTGAACCCAGGAGGCAGAGATTGTAGTGAGCCAAGATCCCACCACTGCATTCCAGTCTAGCCTGGGTGACAGAGCAAGACTCTGTCTCACCAAAAAAGAAAAAAAAAAAGAAAAAAGACTTATGGGTGAGTCATATGGGTGAGTCAAGAGATTATACCTGTAACCTAGCCAAGCTTGCCATTCTCAAGAACTAAAAGAGAATTAACTGAAGAAAGGTGAAACTGGTTAGAATGAATAATTAGCTACATGCTATAGCTAAACTCTGTGATTAAATGAATAGTCATAGGTATGTAGGCAATATATTAATAGTACAGTGTTTGTTAAGAGCATGAAATCTACAACTTAATTGTTTGAGTTCAAAAATGCAACTATTTCCAAGTGATCAAGGTCAATACCAACAGTGGTAAGTCAGATTAATGGTGTGCATCTTTGATATGATGTGATAAAAATGGCATTTTATCTCTGTGGTATTCCTCCCCAAAGCCCATAACCTCAGTCTAATTATGGGAAAACAAACCTCAATTGAGTAAGACATTCTACAAAACACCTGATTAGTATGATTAGTACTCCCAAAACTGCCAAGGCCATCAAAAGCAAGTAAAATCTAAGAAACTGTCATAGCCAAGAGGAGGCTAAGGAGACATAATGATTTAATGTAATGTGATATCTTGGATAGGATCCTGGAACTCAAAAGAGCATTAGGTAAGAAACTAAAGAAATGTGAATATAGTATGGACTTTAGTTACCAATAATGTATCACCACTGGTTCATTACTAGTAACCCATGCACCATATTAACGTAAGATACAAATAACAGGGGAACCTGGATATGGGGTAGATAGGAACTTACTGTAACATATTTGTAATTTTCCTGTAAATGTAAAATGGTCCTAAAAAAATAAAGTTTCTTTTTAAAAAATGCAGTCATTTCACTTACTAACCTTGAGCAAGTTACTTAGCCTTTCTGTGCCTCACTTGACTCATCTATAAAATTAAAATTAGGTTGGTAACGGCAGCAACCTAACTCAAGAATGTGCTGTGAAGACTAAATGAGTTAACATAGTAAAGTGCTTAGAATAGTGCCTCACAGTTAGGAAGCACCTGTTTAGTATCAGCAATGATTATTTGTTAACACAGATGCTCCTTAACTTATGATGGGGTTATGCCTGGATAAACCCAACAAAAATCGAAAATGCACTTTCAACTTAGGATATTTTTTCAACATATTGTGCGTTTATTGGGATGTACCCCATTGTAAGTCGCAGAATGTACTGAATGCATGAGGCTTTTCCATCATTGTAAAGGTGAAAAATTTCATGTCAGGAAGCATCTGTACTTGTAAAGTGCAGTAAAATTGTATGCAAAAGGAGTAAAAATAGCCTGATGATATTAAACTCTAACTTTATAAATGAAATTGAAATAAAATTCCTCCAATTGAAAATATGCCAAAAATTACATAATTTCAAGGTCAGTAAATCAAGGGAAGTATAAACCACATTTATACTATGGTTACATGTTGGGCCACCATATAGATTTTGCTAGCCCTGGTATGAATTCATCCTCAATTAAGGATCTAAGATCCTATTGCTCACATAAAAGCCGACAGCTCTGTTACTGAAGGTCTAAAATTCCTCATGTTATAAGAAGACTAAGTCTGTATTTTAATACCAAAGTAATGACTTAGATGACTCTCATGGAGAAAAGGTAGCTAGGCTACAGAGGCAAGGTCAAAGTTAAAAGGCGAGAAACTTTTAAATCACTTAGGTGGATGGTAGTAGAAATTACCAGAAGTCTAAGACTCAGACAGACATCTTTCCTTGTTAGAATACAACTGATAAAACATGACCAATATATGCTGCCTCTTAATTCCTGCTTTAAACTGTCCAGATCCACCGTGGTTAATGAGATTCTGAGTATGTAAAACCACTTAGCTGTCTTCCCCTTTTTCTAATAACTCAAAATTTCAGTTTAAGTTCTGAAATTCATGTAAATATTATGATGGTTAAAACAAGTAATTAGTATATCATATGTATTTCTTCATTATGTCTTTAACATTTTAAGATATCAATCTGTAGTATGCTCAGAATGTTTACTACATATTTACTATATATTATTTGCAAAATATTATATAAGAAAAAGAATTGTTCCAAAGTTATATAAAAAAAAATTGATGAGGCCAGATGTGGTGACTCACACCTGTAATCCCAGCACTTTGGGAGGCTGAGGTGGGCGGATCACTTGAGGTCAGGAGTTCAAGACCAGCCTGGCCAACATGGTGAAACAGTGTCTCTACTAAAAATACAAAATTTAGCCAGGCACATGTCTGTAGTCCCAGCTACTTGGGAGGCTGAGGCAGGAGAATGGCTTGAACCCGGGAGGCAGAGGTTGCAGTGAGAAGAGATCGCGCCATCGTACTCCAGTCTGGGTGACAGAGCAAGACTCCGTCTCAAAAAAAAAAAAAAAAAATTGATGAATGTCAGTGTGACATTAACAGTGACAGGCTTTGATTTGTTTACAGTAGATGAACAACTACTTAGAGAAGTCTGACTGCTCACTTAATCAAAAAGCTGAGTGCAAATAAATGTATCTTTATGACAAGGTCAAAGACTCAGCCAGGGCATTGAGGGAAAATATAAAAATCAGATCTATTTAATCTAGAAAAAAAATAGAGAAAAAGAATGTACACACAAAGGACTTTTCCAAAATCTTCAATGTTTGTTTTTTTCCTTATTTGCAATAAGAAGATTGAAATTTCAAACCATCCAAAATATTAAATTGCTTTGAAATATTTCCCCTCATATCTAAAAATTAAAAACATTTTGTCACAGTACATTTTATTTTTGAAATTTTATTTTTGGAATAGTTTGGTCACTGAAGATGTAAACTGTCTACACCCGTTTTACTTTGATGAGTCTTCTTGAGTAGCATTTTTTAAACAACTTCATTTATTTTAGATTTTTTTAAATGTCATTTTATTTTTATATCTCCTATAAATTAAAAATGTCAATTTAAAATTATTGAAGAATGCACATAGCAATCTCTCAGTCAAAAAAGGATAATCTTTTTATTTCATAATGAATAGCTCACCAAGATATTTCTGTATGCATACTAAAGAATAGCTTAATTTTATTTCAGTAATCATTAGCCACGCAAACTACCTTTGTTGTAAGGAATTATAGCAACCAATGTGTGTAAAATTTTTCCAAGATTACACATGTATAAAAATTTTATATTCGCATTATAATTTCTCCAGTAGAGTTTCTTATGTTAAGAGTTTCTTATGTGATTTTACTTATGTTGGTAAATAAATGTTTTATTTTTTTAATTTTGTTAAAATATTCTTGATATTTTGATTTTCAAATGAAACATTTACTGTTTGGTTCTCCACAAAAATAATGAATCTTTTACTATATAAATTGTTCTCTTTATGGCAACAAGTCTCCAAAGAAAATACAAACAATGAAACCACATTAGCTCAATTGATTTCCAAATTAAATTATTAGTGGCTTCTATTCCCTTAAGATAATGCCAAGTCATGAACTAATTCAAAAAAATTTAAATTAAATACACTATTTACCTACATACAGATATTCCCCTCTCCATTACACAAATGATGACAGATGACTAGAGTATACATTTTTTATCCTTCCAATTCCACATTCTTAAGGTTAGAAGAGGAAAAGGTGGTAAATATCCTCAAGTAAGCTATACTTAAATATATAAATTCATTTTGTCTCAATCCATATGATGCCTACATCATTAATAACCAACTTACAAATTACAAGTGTTATCAAAAGCTGCACAGAAATTTTAAAAGAAAAATGTAATAATCAAATTAGACAAATGATGTTATTTGTGCCTTTAAATATTTAGAAATATTTTTGAATGAAGATGGATGAGAAAGATGACTTTCATGTTCTAACTTGTTACATAATCTTACTGTAGTTTAAACTGATCAATAAGAAAATCCATTTCAAAGATAAAGCCAGATTCCAAGAAAAAGGTAGATAAAGTCACTATGAAATTACCAATTTTTTCCTTTATTTTTTCAACTGATTTCCCCTTCTTCCTGTCCCCTTTTCACCAGATAATCACATCTAGCCCCTCTACATTTCCTTAAACTTTCCTGAAGGAATGTCCTTCATTTCCTTAAATAGCACACATTTCAGTGAAAGTGAAGGTAACAGGAATTAGTAGCTGTCATCTTAGAGACATGTTACTCAGTATTCTCTATATTAGTCTGGAGAGCTGTAACACAGACAGGACAAAGAGAAATAACCATAAGAAAAATATTATTGACAACTACAATTGTGTCAAAAAATTGGTAACTACAATGTGCATCTCTTTGTAGAACCTTTCCTTTTCATTAAATTAAAAAATGACTCTATAATCTGTTATAAACTAAAATGTCACATAAAATTTCATACTATAGAAATGTTTTCTGTAGTTTTGATATGAATATAGAAGGTTAATGAATGAAGCAAACCACAGGCAATGATACAGGAAATTGCTACTGTATATTATTTTCAAAGCTGAGCCAGATCTATATATAGAACACAAGATATTTCAAAATGAATGCTATTTGTTGTCTTTGTAATTTTACAGAATATTAGAACATTAAAAAAATCCTGGAAGTATCACATGTTCATACCAGGATATATGTGTATGCAGATGTACATATACAATCAGATTTTAAATAATAAATATTAAATTATTTAAAAACATTATAGAGCTATACCCCCACACCCCTTATTCTAACAGTAAGAAAATAATCAACCTGCATGAACTGGAATCAGATTCATTTTCTTCTTCACTAGTGCCATCATCCACTTCTGGTCTATCCAGCCAATGTGCACCGCCACAATCTTCTGCTGTAAACTCAAATGCAGGGACTTCAGAGGTGGATGCCATTGGCCAAGAAGGTGAATTCTGAAAATCCAGTTGGCTGGACCTTCGGTAACCAATTGAAGCCAAAGGCAATTGTAGGCTACATGGATCTAAAAACTTTCTCCCACCGTTTGCGCCAGTCTGTCCTCGGTTCCAAAATTCTCCCTGCTGGCTGTCAACTGTAGAATTAGGAGATGATGCTTGATGGCCAAACCACCTCCATCTGATTTTCAAAATCTGTTTCACATCAAACTCTTTACGAGAACCAGACATCCTCAGAGAAACCAAGTGATCGTCTAGGCAACGGGCAAAAAGCACTGCACACAGATTTGTGCATCCAACCAAGACAAGAGAAGTATATGCCCTGCTGTATACAACAAAAAGATGTAAAGGAAAATAAATCACATTTTTATATATATCTACAATTACTTTTATGCCAATATATCAGATTTTAAAGAACAAAGGATAATGAATAAAGATGAAACACGGTGGAACATTCCGTTCAATCAGAGCAAACTCTCATCCACCTATCCTGAAGCAGCTAGACCACTTTCCTGGCTCTCCTTTCCCATACTGACCATTAGGTCTCACAAACACTGACAGCATTCATTAAAGTCCTTTCAAATGCAGAACACCACCCCCTTTTTCTTAAACCACAAATGACAGAGACAGAAAACACTATCCCCGTTGCAGTATCTCAGTCTCCGCTGCTTACTATATTAACTCTTTTATTGCTGAAACTCTATAGCATTTCCCTTTGTACTTAAAAATAATCACTTGAAAACTAAAATGTTTCTATTTCTAAACTAAGTCCCTAAGTGAAATACCACAAAACAAGTTTTTTAAAAAGCATTTGTAAAATTAGATGAGTTACGGTGATTTTTCAAGCTGTGCTCTTTGGGTGGGGAATGAGGAGGAAAGGGGAGTACAAAGGTGGGGCTCCAGATTGTTGCCTTCACCTCTATCTTCTCCCTTTGTAAAACAAATGGATCTAATTAATATAGTAAGATCCTGGGTAAGATTTCACTTGGATAAAGAATAATAAGTCTGAAAACTAGAAAGGATCAAAAAGTAACAAATACTATTTTTCAAATAAACTGAGGCCAGGAATTCTCTATAAGTAGAAATGGGCCACTGCCAGTTAGTATAATATCCAAATGTCTATGACATTACTTAGGAAAAGGAAAGTGCGGCTCAAAAAAGCTACCAGGGACTGGGATGGGACTATTGGGTGTACAAGTGCCCTAATGGTGCCCTCTGTTGTTAGCAAAACAAACAATGGTTTAAACATGGTTACAGTTAAGGCAAATTGATAAAGCAAATAAAAATAAATCAAACTAAAAAATACTGAGTAGTTATTGTGAACAATGCAATCTACTAGGCATTGTCAGGGACACAGAGATATATACATCTTGGTTCCTAACCCCCAAAATAATTAAATCTAGCTATTGAACCAAATACAAAATATTTGATAAGGTAAAATAAGAAACATTAAAATGCTGCAATATTAAAGTGTGATCTATCAATGCAGAATTTGAGTTTTCAGGGTGCTCAGAATTTACTCCTTTATCAATTAATTCCATACAAAAGGCGATGCCTATGTAAGCTGACCACAAAACAAAAACAAAAACTACTTTGGAGGTTTACAAAAATATTGTGAGGCATATATCTTAACCTCACACAACTCTTTAGGAGAATACAAATTATTCAGAGAAACAAGAATGAGAAGCATAAAAAGCCAAGTACAATTTCGTGCTAAATAATATGGGGAAACATAAAAACTGTATGAAAGAAAGGAGATATCAGGATGGCAATGGATGGTATGGGCCAGTTTCATTAGGGAGAAGGCTGCTAAGAATAGTAAAATGTTGTTTAGGTAGAATGACAGATTTCTATAGAAAAAGATTCTAATAAAAGCATAAGGTGGGCATATCTACAAGGAAGAAGTGGGAAATAATCAGTTTGATCAGCCAGCCATACCTAATTAATTTTAAGGTGTAGTAAGAGATGAAGTGAGATGAATACAATGAGATAAAATGCCTTGAGCATGCAGCAAAGGCATTATTGAATGGACTGTTGAACAAGACAATGTTTTAGAAAATTAACTTGGCGGTACTGTGCAGGACGCATTAGACAGTGAAATGACACTTTCCCCTCTCCTCTCACCTTTGTCAGACTCCTTCTGATCAACACCCTTCTAACTTCACTCTACCTATCCAACTTTATTTCTAACTATTTTCCAACATAGACACACCACTTCATCGGCCAAGGCAGTCTACATTATGGTGTTCCCTCTTTTATAACACTGTTTGCCTCCCAGAGAAACTCTGGTTTAAAAAACACACTTCATCCTTCAAGGTTTAGCTCAGGCACTACCATCTTTGTAAACACTTCAGTTACTCTAAGTAGGTGGTTCTCAACAAGGGAAGCACCAACCTGCTCCTAAAGGCTTCTGGAAAATGGGTAGTGGTGGTGGTGGTGGTGGTAGATTTTTAGTTGTTGGAATGACCAGAGAGTGCTATAGGCATTGAGTGGGCAGGAGCCAGAGACAGCAAACATCTGGCAATGAAAGATACCTTTATTTTGTCAATCCTCCTCCACTCATTCCCATGGTAATCATTGTTGACGCCAAGCTTGGTACATACAGCCTTTCACACCTCTCTCCATGTTTAAAAATCATGGACAAACTTATATACACATATATAGGAGTTTTTGCTATTGCTATAAGACAGATCATATTGTATTCATCTTTTAGCATTTTGCTCTTCTCATCTAATTTTATATATACATGGAAATAATAATCTCTTTAAGAGTTACATGATATTTCACTGCTGTAAAAAAACAATTTATTAAACTATCTCCTTGCTAATGGGCATTTATGTTGATTTCAGGTTTTGGGGTTTTTTGCCATTAAAATAATGTTGAAAGAAACATCCTTGTGAGGCTTTTATATCTACAGAATTTATTCCCAGGAGTGGACCTGCTGGGTTGAAGGTATGTGTATTTTATTTTATTTTATTTTATTTTAAGACAGAATCTAATTCTGTCACCCAGGCAGGAGTACAGTGGTGCAATCTTGGCTCACTACAGGCTCCATCTTCCGGGTTCACGCAATTCTTATGCCTCAGCCTCCTGAGTAGCCGGGACTACAGGCACGCACCACCATGTCCAGCTAATTTTTTATGTTTTTACTAGACATGGGGTTTCTGGAGTGCAGTGGCATGATCTCAGCTCACTGCAACCTCCGTCTCCCGGGTTCAAGCAATTCTCCTGCCTGAGCCTCCTGAGTAGTTGGGATTACATGCGTGCGCCACCATGCCTGGATAAGTTTTGTATTTTTTCAGTAGAAATGGGGTTTTACCATATTGGCCAGGCTAGTCTCAAACTCCTGACCTCAACTGATCCGCCTGCCTCGGCCTCCCAAAATGCTGGGATTACGGGTGTGAACCACCGTGCCTGGCCATATTGTCTTTTTAATTTTAGTCATTCTGACAGGTGTGTAATGGTATCCCATTTGGTTTTCCTTAACATTTTCTTCATTATTAATGTGGCTGAGTAACTCTTCATGTTTATTGGTCATTTGGATATCCCCCATGAAGTGGCTATTTAGGCCTCTATTTTTTTTTTTCTATTAAGTTATCAATCTTTATCTTCTTGATTTGTAGTTCTTATATTTCTGATATTTCTTTATAAAAAATATGAAGTAAGCTTAAACATTAATGCCTTTATGGAATGACATTCAGCATTTACTTAAAAAACACATTTTCTTCTGTTCCAACAACTTTCACCAATATAAAATTATTTTGCCCCAAAATTTATCCAGCTCTGATGACAAGTATTTCCCAGGAAAATTATTTATAAAAGATCAGTATGTATTAAAAACCATTACATTGTTAAATTATCAAAATGGTCTTCACTGACTACTCTCTGTAAACTAGACCCTTCATCATTCACAAGCCCGCTGACCCTCCTAATTTTTTTCATAGTGCTTACCACCACCTGGCATATTAGATGTTTATTTGCTTATTGTCTTTATCCTCACTACAAAGTAAGCTCAAGTGGAGCTTTGTTTTGGTTATGACTGTAATCCCAGCACTTATAATAGAATAGTACCTGGGAGACAGTAAGTGCTCAATAAATATTTCTCTAATGAATACATAAATTATTCAACAATTATAAGAGCAATAATAAAATCCAACAATTGTAAGAGCAATAATAAAAGTAGATACTTATACTGTCTACTTTTTAAATTATAAAATAAATTAAGAATCTAATTTTAAAATTACAGACACATTTACCTTGGTGATAAAATCTTTTTTTTTTTTTTTTTTGAGACAGGGTATCACTGTGTCACACAAGCTAGAGTGCAGTGGCTCGATCTCAGCTCACTGCATCCACAACCTCCTGAGCTCAGGTGATCCTTCCATCTCAGCTCCCATGTAACTAGGACTACAGGCACCCGCCACCACACCTGGCGAATTTTTGTAGAGCCAGGGTTTTGCCATGTTGCCCAGGCTAGTCTTGAATTTCTGAGCTCAAGTGATCTACCCACCACAGCCCCCTAAAGCCCTAAGATTACAGGCCTGAGCCACGGTGCCTGGCTGGCAAAATCATACAGTATTTTTTCAACTTAGGAGAAAAATCACAATGTTATTCTAAGAATTTCTTTTTTCTATTCATTCTTAAGGCATAAAATTCTATCACTTAAAATCCAGTGGCTAAACAGCAGATGTCTTTTCAAGTGGACACACTTTCTTCAAACTAATTACAAAATTATATTCTGTACCTCTGATTTTATAACCTTGCTTTATTTCAGGTTAAACTTGAGATACAAAAGCTCAAGTATTATTTAAAATAGATAATATGTGTCAATTATGAATACATTTTTCAAAATGTAATTAAAGGACCCATGTGCAATTTGTTTCAAAACTGCTCAAATCTTAGTCTGTGAATTTAAAAGATGACACTATTCAGTATTACAATAGAAACACTGAAATGTCATTAAGATAGACTGAAGGTGAGCTAACTTTAACAGCATGGCTTTTAAAGCTATGTCTTTACTCAATTTAAATCATGGCTATTTGGTAGCTAGTTTATATTACTAATCATCATTATATCAATCTCTCTTCACATAGAGTTTTTTAGGAAACAGTATTTACGGCTCATCAATTTTAATAAATCTATTTCTAAAGTTTTAAGTGTGTGATATACACTGCATTAAAAAACATCAAGAATTTTACCATACTAACCCAGCAGCTCTCACCTCTCTGTTTTTCCTCAGTTATAAAAAGAGTAAGTTGCATTGCATGATTTTGAAGAGCCCTCCAAAGTTTAATAATTCTGGGATACTTTTTAAACTTTGTCAAATTAGGTCTATCAGAATTTGATTTAAAATATTTGAATATTAATATAATTCTACCAGCCTGTAAATTCCCTAACACTTAAAAATGTATGATGGTGGAAAATTTCAGTTAATTATTTACCCTAAATGATTTGAGATCTACTTTTACTAAACTTGATTTTAATTCTAGAAATAACACCAGATATTCTGTACTGCTTCTCCATTCTCATAAAAAGCAAACATTATAAATGTAAAAAATATACTGTATTTCTATAAATGCAACAAATCTTTTGTTCTGTAAGCAGAACAAAATGCAAAGATGAGGAAATAGACCACAAAAATCAATCAGGACAGGGACCACTATATCCCTAATAACCTGTACAGAACATGGTATTTAAATCATTTCTGAATTTAAATTTTTAAAAATGAATAAACTAATGGCATAGACCTTGACTTGAAAGATTTTAAACTCCAGCAACAGAGGGTCTGGAATGAAACTCCTACTGAATTAAGAAGAGGTAAGTATGTCCTTTATTTGGGTGAGGTTGAGGTTTTTGAGGTGAGGGTTTAGAAATATACCTCAAGATTAATTTGGCAATGGTGAAAAATGGATTTGCGAGGGAAGATACCTCGTAAGGAAACCAGTCAGAAAACTCTACCATGTGAGAGGCACAGTTCAAACTTGACTCAAAGCAACAAGATCTGAAAGGGTGGTGGAAGTTGAGGATATTACAGAGGCCTTATAGGATGGCTGTGGCAAACAGACAGGAAAAAGTCAAAGATGACAGCATTTTCAAGTTTGAGTGACTGGAAGAAGAATACTAAAATTAACACAAATAAGGAGGTAAGAATATTGTTTCAGAAGGATTGAGTGCGGCTTTAGACATGTTTGGTTTTAACCATATTATCAAGCAATCAAACAGCTAGGATAGGATCTAGAGCCAAAAATTAATCTATTTAAGAAACCGGAAATTTAAAGTGTGAACAAGTGAGCCCTGGGTTAACACTGGTTATCTTTGTATTCTATTCACTCGATACCACAAACACATGGCACCAAAATGTCTTCTGTAATAAAAAACTTACAGTTTGAAATACAAAACTAAGATTTCTAGCACAATGTTAAATCTTTCACTTTGTTAAAAACAACTGGGAAATACTTCTAATTTAATCAGTAAATGAAAATTTTAAAATGTCAAATTTAAATTTAGGCTGGGTGCAGTGGCTCATGCCTTAAAAGTGTTAAATTTAAGTAAATGCTAAATTTCATGCCATAAAGGCATTAATGTTTAAGCTTACTTCTTATTTTTTATGAAGAAAATATCAGAAATATAAGAACTACAAATCAAGAAGATTAAAAAAAATCCCAGCACCCCTGAGGGTGGATCACTTGAGGTCAGGAATTCAAGACCAGCCTGGCCAACATGGTGAAACTCTGTCTCTACAAAAATACAAAAATTAGCTGGATGCAGTGACGTATGTCTGTAGTTCCAGCTACTCAGGAGGCTGAGGCAGGAGGATCGCTTGAACCTGGGAGGTGGAAGTTGCAGTGAACCAAGACTGTGCCATCACACGGTCGCCCGGGCAACAGGGCGAGACTGACACACACACACACACACACACACACACACACACACAATTTAAATTCAGTTGCATTATACCAAGAGATCTGGCTCTACAAATCACATGGTAGACTGAAAACTAGGCAGTCAAGAACTTTGATATATGCTCAAAACTGAAGATGACTTCATGGTAAAAGCCATATAATATAGAGATTTTATTTCTTTGTGTATCCTAAATAAATCACTGTAGTATATACCTATAAGTATACATTTATGAGAGAAGATCAAGATGAAAAAGATCAAGGCAAGAAAAGTAAATGAAGTAAACTTTAACCTTTAAACTAAACTATGCCCCTTTACCATATCATTTACAATGCAGGAACTGACATTAAATTTAAAAATTATAATACAGCATGATGAAGCTACACACAGAATGCATAGGATAAGCTAAGATAGCAAGGCAAGCTTAGACAGCTGCAGAGGTCAAAGATTGATTTCCGGTCAACCTGGAACTCCGAGTACAGTGAAAGCCCCCTTTTCAGATGAAACCTACAGTTGATCCACTAAAGAAAAAAGTCAATAATCATAAAAATAATATATACATTCCCTTAAAGATGTTCTTTTAACTTGAACATATACATGCACATTCATTTGTAAATCTTTTTATATAGGGTTAATACCACATATTTGATAGGGGTCTCCTACTGAGTTTGGGTCCTTTTTCTTGCATAAGTCATACCCATAATGATCCATCATCTGTGATTTCCACTTACAGTTTCTATAAATGGAAACAGAACTTAAAAGCACTTCTGAAAGAATATGAATACAGAATCCATTAGACCAGTGGTCTGTCCACCATAGGAAAACTTGTGCCAGACTGTAAATTAATGCATTGCTTTCTTCAAGGAGAAAGTCTCACCATGAAAACAAAATATCTGCTGAACCAGTGTGCACTAGTTTGCCTAATGTAGTTAATTAATATTCTAATGTGTGCTCCTTATATCCTTGAGGACCCCTAATAGTCTGAAGACCAGGTAGCTGGTTGATGGCCCTTGACAGGCACTGCTTTAGACTTTGATGACTTTTTCCCTAGTCTCTTACAATTATCCAGCCTTTATCCAACTTGATAGAATTTTTTAAATAACTCATTTACAGAGAGGCATCGCAAAGCATTCAACTTAATTTTCACAGGAAGAATTCTCTTTTCTTTACATTTTCATCAATTTATATGTTTACTAATGTTTTATAATTACTATAACAAGTATAATTGTTAAAAACAGGTTTGTGAATAAACAGAACCAACTTCTGGTAAGTACTCAATTCAACGAGTAAGCAGAGATGTACAGGTCAGCTATGGAGCTGCCTACTTACCTATGAGTGTTCAGTTGGCCCGTGGTATCAGTAAGTACATTTTACAGAAGAGTGTGCATCAGGTTAGAGCTACAAGTCAGTTCAGAAGTAGTTGGTGGAGAGTCCTTCTGCTGTTATTTTCCCACATTATCACTTATTAATGGTAGCCTAAGTGACACAGCAGAAAGAGTCTGAGTCAATAGCTAAGCCACTCACCAGCTAGCTGTATAATTTGGGCAAACCATTTCACCTCTTTTGTCTTCAGTTTTCTCTTCAGTAATAGGATTAAGTGGCATATCTAAGTATTGAGTAATGGTCAGGATTTGTAGCAGCAGCTACTATCTCTTAAGTGCCCAAATGAGCACAATAATATATAAAATACTTTAGACTGAGTGGGGCATTTTGCTGTCAGAAAAACTCCGTTAAACAGGGGTCATTCCTGCCCCCAGCCTGCCACTCCTTATAGATGAAGATATTGAAGTAAGATTAAGTAACCTGACTTAATACCTATATCTGGTGAGTGGCAGGGTCCAGGATGGACTCTAAAAACCATATACTTTCGAATACACCACACTGCTTCTTGCTTTCAAAGCAAGAAGTATTCTCATTCACTACTCACAAACACCTTGTGGGGCAGGTAGAGTAGTTATGAAAATGAGGAAGTAGATTGAGAGTATAGTTGACTTGGACAAGGATAGATGTCTAGTATAGAGTAGCAGAGCAGACAAATTCTTTGCCGATAATATCTGACCAAACTAAAAGCAAGTAAGACACAGAAGTGGGGGAAAAACAGAGTACTTAAGGAACACATGATTTCTTATATATAACAAAATATTCAGTTCATCATAACTGCAGTTAAACGCCAAATGACATTTATTCACCAAGTACAAGTGCCTCACAGATTTCTCCCTACTTAGCACCCTCCCAATTTCTGCTGCTGTTTCTTACAAAGTACTGGCCTACAGTAACATCAAAAGAATCGTTTTATTCCACAACTACCTATCAGTACTGACATCTGGTAGTAAAGCAAGGGACATTTTAAAACTCAGCTAAATTAACATTATGTAGCCTTTATTTAAGCTCACCTGTAAAAGTTGTTACGGTTGATACTACTATGGTATAACAAAATCATTACTTTTGAAAATAGTCCTTTGGCTTGATGACTGGTAAAAAAACAAGGTTCCCTTGCTATCCACTCCTTAGATTTTTGTCAATGTAAGTATATATTTGCTGTGCACAAGGATGAAAACTGTAATATCATTAAAAAAATGATGGAAAAACCACTGCTAAATTCTTGCCTGATCCATTATGGTTGGCATGTGCTGAGACACCCAATTATCTTATCCATTACTTGGTTATCCATAAAAAGTAACAATCTGGATAACCACAAATTTGTCTTTTACTGATTTCAACCAAATCCAGAAGTGCTTCAACCAAATCCAAAGATATGTGTTTCACCACATAGCTTTATGGTGATGGAGGTTAAAAAAAATTTTATTCAATCAGTACTCTCCAGTCACAAGTATCATCAATTAAAGTTGCCTGTGCTCTCTGAACACATAATGAGCCAATCACAGATCAACTTGATTCTGCTGTAGGACCAATCCAGATTTTACAAATTATATATTTTTGTTAGAACAGCATAAGTCAGGTAGGGAAAGGGTAGTAATGGGCAGCGTGAGCAATAAAGAGGAGAAAATGTGAAGCACTGTTTCTCAATTGCTCATAATTAGAAATGGTTAATCACTACAAATGTTAATTAAACCAGTTAAGCATTAAACTGCCTAGCTTGCCCTAAAACTAGACCCAAAGAAAAGCCACCAATAACCTGTTCAATAATTTAACTTCAGCAGAAAGCAAAAGGAGGATGTCAGTGGTCAAATGGAGATTAGTGGAGATCAGTCGAGGCTAGAATTTCTTGGTGTTAATCATGCATTAGATTAAATCCAATGTTCTTAGGAGGCACTTCAGAGTAGTCCTCCCAAACTCCAATGGGGGGAAGGAGATGACAAATAAATTTAGGACAAACTGATTCAGGCCGCTCCAAAGAACCATGCGGAAACCAGGCGAGCAATTCTAAACTCCTGTGGAGCAGAGACTTGAGTATTCCTTTTTCCTGCTTATCAAAGAAATAGCTCCCCAAAGAAAGGCAAATATTAAGTAGAAATGAACCAACCAACCTGAAGTCTAAATCCTCTCTTACTCTCCACGCTATCGCCAAAGTAGCCTTCTAAAGTGCAATTCTTGACTACATCACTCTACTTGTTTATTTTTGTTTGTTTTCGATCAGCTACAAGATAAATAAAAGCTAAGATCTTTAGCATGGAATTCAGGATTTTTAATGATCTAGTAGTCTTGCCTGCCTTTCCAGGCTCACCTTCCTCTCAACTTATTTCACTTCCTCCATCATAGAAAGGAGTAAATGGGCCAGGTGTGGTGGCTCACGCCTGTGATCCCAGCACTTTCGGAGGCTGGGGGGGGGCAGATCACGAGGTCAGGAGTTCAAGACCAGGCTGGCCAATAGTGAAACCCCATCTCTAGTAAAAATACAAAAAATTAGCTGGGTGTGGTAGCGGGTGTCTGTAATCCCAGCTACCTGGGAGGCTGAGGCAGGAGTATCACTTGAACCTGAGAGGCAGAGGTTGTAGTGAGCCAAGATTGCACCACCACACTCCAGCCCAGGTGATAGAGCGAGTCTCCATCTCAATAATAATAATAATAATAAAAAATTTAAAAAGAGTAGAAACACACTACATCAAAATAAGCAAAAGAAATATTATGGAATACTTCTGAATGAAAGGCACTGCAGATAATACAAGTATGAGTAGAGTTAAGCTTCAGTTAACCCTTTTGGCTCTGTTTCCTGGCATCTGTAAAACTAGGTACCTCAACTATGTTACTAGGTAACACTACTTATAGTAAAAATGATCCCTGTGATTAAATTTGCATCAAGACTCAGGAACCATAAATGAACCATAAATACCTCATAAGGAAGCTATAGCTTTGACTTCCCTGTGATGGCTCTTTTAATTAGCATAGCTTTTACAGAACCACCCTGGAAACTCAGTCTATGGAGTTTGTGTTAGAGTTACTGGCTCCTGTGGGACGTGTTTTGTTTTTTGTTTTTTTTTTTTAAGCTAAGGCAGCTCCTGCACCACCTAGCGTGAGCTTCCTCTGAGGTGCTGCCCAGATGGCTATGAGCTGCCTGCGTGGACTGCTGTGAAAATCACTCCCACTGAGGAACATTTGATGCTGCCCTGCTGGCAAGCTATGATTCCTGTCTGATAGCCTTCTGAGTAAACAAGCTTTCTGAACTTGAAGTTTAGTTAAATCCAAGAAAACCCCTTCATTTGCACAGCAACAAGTGTCTAAGAGTCTTAATATGATATTCCAGACATTCTACAATCTAAACCTAATCTCATATACAGCTTTTACTCATCTTTTTTTTTTTTTTTTTTCCTGGGAAATCCTCTTCAGGTAACATATATCACCTCCCCATAGTTAACCTCTGCAGCCACTGCTGAGGTGAAGCTATAGATATTTTTCAACCATGAAGGAGATATCGCATAGTGTGAAAATGCAAGGGAACTATGCTAGTGAAGCTAAGTAAACAAGTCTAACAGAAAATGATAGAAATGTATTGAGAATAAAGTTAGATTAAATTGGTGAAGAGATATGGTAATAGCACATTAAAATGTAAAATGTCCAGATAAAGAGTGTCTACGAGACCAGTTTGGATGGAAGAAAAGAGCAGAGCTAGGTAGTATATTACATATGCCCTTCTTCCTACATTATTACCCATGAGGAGAGGCCAGGGAGCCCTGTATCAGGATCAAAGCAGATGACTTGTAAGAGTTAGACAATTCAGTCAATCCTTACCCTCGGAGAGGAAGAAGGGATGGATGAAAGGATTACAACGGAGATGGCATTTGCCAGTGTTCAGGGAGGGAATATCGTAGTTACTTAAGTCAGATCCAGTTATACCTTCTTATCCTGATTATCATAATCAGCCTGTCCCACTAGAATTTGCAAGCTGATGTTAATTGTGTAGAACTTTTCATGGCACCTTGGTTTCTTTGATTGAAAGCTATTATAACTGCCTCTTTCTCTACTATAAAGTTGTCAATTATGCTAATTTGTTATACCTTAAGAGTCAACTGCATTATTTCCTTAGTGGTTAAGAGCTTACGAAGACAATGCACTTAAAAATTTTTAGATCGTCTAAGATTGCTAAAGCCTCTAGTTTCAAGTTCATAAACTCTTAGATTAAAACACCCAGTAACAGCAAAATAGAGAAAAATCAGTCAACAGAGAAAAAGAAAGAAATACAAGTGCAGAAAGAGACACTAGCAAGAAATCATATAGACCTGGAGAGATAGAAAGTAGCCCTAGCTCCTAGCTTTCTGTTATTGGTGCCAGTTGCTTTTGAGGCCCAGGTGCGCTTCTCGCCCTTGGCCTCCGATATAAACTATATTCCTTTTCTAACACGACATTCTTTTTGCTTATGCTAATTTAAGTAATATTGTTTAATTTGTCATGAAATACTCCTTAAGTCCAAAAAGGCAGACAGGAACAAAGTATAACAGTTTATATATTTAGTATTTTTCACTATTTTATATATGTGTGTATACACATCATTTACACACTGTAAATGACGCCTTAAAGAGAAAGGGAGAGAGAACTCAAGTATAGTTAGCGATTGTAAACTCCCCATTTATTTATTTATTTATTTATTTTCGAGATGGAGTCTCACTCTGTCGCCCAGGATGAAGTGCAGTGGCGTGATGTCCGCTTACCGCAACCTCTGCTTCCCAGGTTCAAGCGATTCTCCTGCCTCAGCCTCCAGAGTAGCTGGGATTACAGGCGTGCACCATGATGCCCAGCTAGTTTCTTTTGTATTTTTTGTAGAGATGTGGTTTCACCATTTTGGTCAGGCTGCTATCAAACTTCTGACCTCAGGTGATCCGCCCACCTCAGCCTACCAAAGTGCTGGGATTAAAAGCATGAGCCACCACGCCCGACCCTCATTTATCTTTTTATCCTCACAGGCCTAACACAGTGCCTTATACTATTTATTTATTTATTTATTTATTTATTTATTTATTTATTTTTGAGACAAGGTCTTGCTGTTCCGTAGGCTGGAGTGCAGTGGCCTGACCATGGCTCACTGCAGTGTCAACCTCCCAGGCTCAAATGATCAATCATCCCACCTCCCTACCCCCGACCCCGTGGAAGCTGGGACTGGAGACACATGCCACTACACCTAGCTAATTTTATTTATTTTTTGTAGACACAGGGTCTCGCTATGTTGTCCAGACGGGTCTCAAAATTCCTGGACTGAAGAATCCTCCCGCCTTGGCCTCCCAAAGTGCTGGGATTGCACAGTCTTGAGCCACTACACCTGGCCCCTTATACACATTTAACAAATGTTTATTGAATGGACATACAATTTAAAAAGAATGAAATTCATTTGACCAAAATAACAAACCTAATCGTGGAGTTTTCAAAAGCATTTCATTTCAAACTAATAAAAGATGTTCTTTATAATTCTCATTAGCATAATTCTGATTAAACACACTCACATACACAAAGAAATGCTGTTTTCTATTTTCTAAATAGAATACTGTACTGACATAATTTGGGTTTTGATTTATTTAGATTCTGTGTTAGCTCATGGGACTCTGAAGCCTTTTTAGTAGTCATTAAGACCGTTCACAGACTATTCCAGTTCTCCTCTTTCTGGGCACATGGTAGAAATGCATTTCCCCATCTCTTTGAAGTTGGGGGTAGTCAAGTGACTTTTGGCCAATGAAATAGCAGTGGAAGTTACCTGTGTCACTTCCAGACAGAAGCCCTGAAGAGCCAATGTACACCGGGTGCAGTGGCTCACTCCTGTAATCCCAGCATTTTGGGAGGCTGAGGCAGGTGGATCACGAGGTCAGGAGTTGGAGATCAGGCTGGACAACATGGTGAAACCCCATCTCTACAACAAATACAAAAATTAGCCAGGCACAGTGGCGGGCACCTGTAATCCCAGCTACTCGGGAGGCTGAGGCAGGAGAATCGCTTGAAACTAGAAGGCAGAGGTTGCAGTGAGCTGAGATCATGCCATTGAACTCCAGCCTGGGCAATAAGAGTGAAACTCCGTCTCACAAAAAAAAAAAAAAAGAAAAGAAAAGAGCCAATGTAAAATCACCACATCCTTTTCCCTGTCCTAACAACTGTGGAAGCACGTGCTGAAATATAGCCTCCGATAGCCTGAGACTGACCATTTGTAATGGAGTTCTCTTGCTGACCTGCTTCAGCATGTAGTATAACAGAAAAAAAATCATCGCTGTTTAAAATCAATGGGATGTGAGAGTTCTTTTGTTACCACAGCATAATCTATCCTGCCTGGTATACTCAACAAACCCCTTTCTCATAAATGGAATGAGGCAATGAATAGCTCTGGCCCTCTAGTTTCAGAATGGTATCATTTTGTATAGCACTATCATTTAGAGAATACTTTTGAATGGAAGTGCCCCTCATTATCCAAACTCATCATCAGAACACAGGAACTGAACGGATTCTGATAAATTTTTGGATCAACACCTCATTCTCTCAACTCTCTGTACCTGCCATCTCAAACTCTGGAACCAAATACATTTGGATAGGTGCCATTCCTTGCCTTCCATACTCTTGCCACCTGCACTCAGGAATGGAATAAATTTAGACAGTGAAGAATTCTTGATATATTATTTCATTTGCACTCTGCTGTTTTTCTACTACCCAGTACCCAGTAGATTCTCGTTTATTCCATAAATGAATTTATGTACTGTCATCATTCTAATTTTACAAATAAGGCAATAGATTCAGGGAGGTTCATCGACTTGCTGGAAACAATCCTGCACATTCAGTAGTGACACAATCCCAGAGTTTCTGGCTTCAAATCTTCGCTCTTTCCACGCTGTACTGTGCTTTCTTAGGTTTCTCATAGCTATGGAATGCTTATGATTTGATAGTAAATTAACAGTACAAATAGTGTTTTGATAAAAAAAAAAAAAGTCAATCACATATTTACATCCAAGAATAAAGTCATTCCTCAAGGACTTCAACTTGCCTATACCTAGTCTAAGTCATAGACACTAAGTACAGAACAAGAAGGTGCCCTAGAGGTCCTTCAACAGGCAACTTGCAGAACAATGAAGGAATGTGAAAGAATTGGGGGAAGTAGCGTTCTCCTTTGCTATACAGTATGTTAAAATCCTGACTTTTAAATTATCTTCACTTTGGACCTTACCAAATTGGCTAACCTCAACTCTTTGCTTTCCAATTCTCATTGAACCTCAGTCGTAAGAAATACTAACGAAGAACTGCCTGAAGAATAGATAATTCATCTTTTTTTATTTTTTGAGATGGAGTCTCACTCTGTTGCCCAGGCTGGAGTGCAGTGGCACCAACTCAGCTCACTACAACCTCCACCTCTTGGGTT